GAGAAGTGCTCACTAACACAGATTTAGACAGATTTGTGAACAATATTTGAGAGAAATAGGCCTTTTGTGTACATAGAAAAAGTCTCAGATCTTTGAGTTCAGCTCATGAAAAATGGGGGCAAAAACAAAGGTGTTGTGTTTATATTTTTGTTCAGTGTGTATATATATATATATATATATATATATATATATATATATATATTCATACTGTCTAGATAGATAGATAATATAAACATAATATATGAATTTATAAACTTTGTAAATATATTTAATTACAATTACAGTAGCCTGTGTAGCTCAACAATCTTTATTTTTTTGATAGGTGCCCAAATTGATGATAACGTTCCAAAGAGAGCTTCCGCAAGGATTCTGGCGCCACCTGGTGGTCGTTCTAGTGGTATCTGGTAACATTTCGGATCAACACTTTCGGAAGTCTGAAACTACAGTAAACACCTACATTTTTGACAACCTCACATCTGATGAAAATTATTTCATTTTAATCACTTGCAAGAAAACGCCTGTGGGTTTTTTTTATGTATGTGTGTGTACGAGGGGAAAAAATATATTTGTGTGGAAATTGGAAAACAAGGTATATGTTGGAAATGCTTGTATCCAAAATGTTACAGGGAGTTTTGTTCTTCATATTCAGTCAAATGAAATAGTGAAAGTCGTGTTCAAATGCAAATGCAACACTGTTGTAGTGCTAAATAAATGACAGACCCTTTTACTAATTGTTTTTGTTACCACTTTAACAACAGTATGTTTTACGTAAGCTGCCGTTTAAATGATTTTAAAGATAGCGACTGGAGAGTTGTTTAAGAATGGGAATGTTATTAGTTTGTGTATTTGGTCATGGCTTGAAAATGTGAACCATTGTAAAGTTATTTAATATGTTTTAATGTGTTGGCACTTGGCAGATGACTATACATTTACCTCAGTGTTTATCTCTCGAGTTACACTTACTTACATTAGCACTCTGCCTCTCTACTCTTACAACTCTTACAGCGACCAATTGACAACACTTTCTGACAGCAGGTACAAACCAATTTTAGCTTTGCGTTGAGGTGTTAATATTTATTCTTATTTTTATTATCTTATTTTTGACACTCATAATGCAAAGACAATACTAGATATTTGTTTCTCTGTCATATTTCTAGTTTTAGTTCATGACAGGTCAATTGTATTGCTTATACATTCAAAAAAGTAATTTATATGGAGCATTTTCAATTTTACAGATGTCATTTATAAGTGCACATACCTGACCTTCTAAAATGTGAATTAAGAAGAATAACTGTTACATATCAAATTTAGTTGTATAACTAATCCAGAAATGTATTGATCTCTCATTTTTAACTGACCAGATTTTTTTTTTATCCAATAAGTCTACATTCCCTGTTACTGTTATGGGCACTTACGAATTATTATTCCTAACTATAGCATAATTTTGCAGCGTAGCTTTATGTTTATTCTAGAATTAACTGTTAGCTGAAAACTGCGACGACAGTTGAATTCCATCAGTTGTTCACTGAACTTTAACACTGTGCATTATTGATCTGCATGTTCCAAAACAAGTCAGAATAATTCTGCTTCACTTCTGACCAATGAGCTGCACAACACTAACCAACCATGTTAAAAGACACCAGACAGCTAACTGAGGCATGTGTTCTTTTTGTACATGTATGGCTAACTTAAGTACTTGAAGACCTTCTGTAGAGACCATTCGAAACACAGTAACTTTAGCTGTACAACTCAATGTTCCAGTGACACAAGCAGTAGAACGGCAAGAACATTTCGGTTGGTGCTGAATATTCATGTATTTTTTTATTCAGTATGCTTTTCAGTTTTTTAATATGAGCTATGTATGCACTACGTTGTACGTATTAACATATTATGTTTATCTCATGAAAAAGTGCAAATAAACCCCCTTCAACCTCATGTCCACATGCATTATTGAGTAAAATGCAACATTGAATATTTATATATTCCTAACCCTAACCCTATATTATAAAGTTTACCATTATTAAATACCTATAATTCATTAGTAATTAACATTCATGATATAAGGCATATACAGTATATATATATATGGGTTACACTAATAAGGTTCCATTAGTTAATGCTAGTTAATGTATTAACTAACATGAACGAACCATGAACAGTACATTTATTACAGTATTTATTAATTAGTTAATGAAAATACAGTCGTTCATTGTTCATGTTAATTCACAGTGCATTAACTAATGTTAACAAGCACAACTTTTGATTTTAATAATGCATTAATGTTAAATAAATGCTGTAGAAGTATTGTTCATTCTTAGTGCATAGTGTTAACTAATGAACCGTGATGTCAAGTGTTACCTGCTATATATGTTTATATAAATGACAAAAAATGATTGAAATAATTGCAAAAAAAAAATCACCCATAGATAGATGATAGATGGGTGATTTTTTTCAATTATTTCAATATATATTTTTTTGTAACTTTTGTGTCCCTTTGAATAATTTTTAAGAAAAATACACATCATTGGAGGCTATTTATAGGTTATATTATAATAGCTTTTAAAAAAGTTTTATGTTTATGTATTTTTTATTGTGCCTGATCAATCACTTTTTCCTTATTTCTAAAATGCTCAAAAGTTAAATTAGCCTATTTTGAGCTTTTCTCCTAGCCATTATGCGTAGAATTCATCAATCCTGTTGTCGTTGTCATTGCAGCAAAACAATTAAAATATTTTTTTCGACAAATGCAGACTGAACATCAGAAATAATATTAGTACAGCTTCACAGAAACACACGGGACACAAACTGATAACGTGCTGTTCCTCAGTTCTTCACAAAGAAATGCGTCTCTAACGAAGGGGCGGTGCGCATGCGCAGAGACGGACAGTGTGTTGCAGGAGCGCGTGGCGCTGTTGCCCGTTACTAGGCAGCAGCGCATATCTGGCAACCCACTGTAGCGGCGGAGAGCAGCGGATTGCATTCTGCCAGTGTAATATCAACATTGGAAAGGACGCAGTCAAAATACAGTGAGTAGAATATTGTTAACATATTAGAATTCAAAGGTATTCTTCATAATGTATGACATTAAATAGGCGCTGTGGCCTCTTTTGTCAGTGTATTATGTGTTTATGGCTCGAGCGTGTCTTGTAATGTTACGGCGACGGGGCCTGCAGAGCAACTGTCAGAATAATGGACCGTTTGTTCGGCGTACTCACTTGTATTACATATCACTGCAGGCTCCAGTGTGCTGTTTTATAGAGCAAAACGCAACATTTATGTGCACATTTTTGGCGTAAAGACAAAAAAGACCCATATCAGTGATAAACAGAGCGCGCTATGGGGCCTGTGTGACTACCTTCATGAAAGATACTGTAATACAGTTTAAGACGTCGTTTGCAGCAAGGGATAAATAAACATGAAACTAATGCATTTGTTTGTAATAAATACGAATGTTATAAGATAAATATGATCAAATGACATACTGATGGTAAAACAAGCATGTGTCAATCACTGCTTCATTTCTTCATTCAAGACCTAGCATATTACAATACATAGGCCTGTATTTTTTTTTAATATTATTAGGAAAAATACCATTATTAGAGTGCCAATAATAGTTTTCAACCAGTTTTGTTTTGTCTTTTACTGATTCTTGAGGTGTGAGGGGGAAAAAAATCCTTGTCTTGTAACTTTATCTGTCATTAGTCTTTAATATAGCATTCTGAGAATGTTCTAGAATGTTACAAAACAAAAGGACTGTTTGGTCTTATTTACTGCTCATTTTAGTAAAATAAATAAATAAATGAATTATCACTATACCTCTGAAACCACATGTTCTCTGACTGTAACTTAATATACAGTATGTGACATAAATGTGCAATATATTTAAAAGAAACATTATAATGTCCTGGCAGAAAGAAGGGGTTAATAAAAATGCCTTCTTTATAAATAAGTTTTCACAGTTTTACCTCGAAAATTTTTGTCGGCACATTCAGATATTTATGAAAACATTTATAATCAGGTAATATCATAATAATATCATGTGATATTTTATGTGTCACACCATGAAATATCATATGATATTATAAACCATGATGTCACACACAAATTTGTATTTTTAAAATACACTAACAAAAATGTAATTCTAAAAGTGTTACATTTTTAAATGATGTACTTCCAAAACCAGGAAAAAATTAAAATGTTTGACTGTGCTGACTATTCAAATTATGGATCTGAAACCATTATTTGTAGGTTATTTTGTCCCAGGACTCAAGAATCAAAGCTTTACAAAATTCATGCAGTGAAATACACACACATAGTGTGTCTCTGTAGAAGATGTGTGTGTGTGTGTTTTACAGATGTCATTTCTATCACGCAGTCCGCTGGGTGCACCAGATGTGCATGGTTAACAACATCTCAGAAACACTAATCTGGATGGATTATCTTTGGGGGATTGAAATTTATAGTGTGATTACAATTTTCAGTGATGCAGTGACAACTGAAGAACAGAACTGAATAACACTTCTGATTAACCAAATAGAAACACATTCAATCCAGACACAGTGACACATATTCAAAGCATGTGTATAAAACCATCTTTACCTGCTATCCTATGAAATGAATCTTTTCAACATGAAATTATAAATATACTTATATAAATGTTTATAAAATATACATTTATAAAATAAATATATCAACTTGAAATGATTAAAAGATATGGAATTATACATTTAAAAAAAATACAGTCACAGATGCTGTAAGATAACAAAGTATTAAAAAGAAGTGCAATTAGGTGCATAGTGACTTTGTTCTTTTTTCTTTTGTAGGAGATGGCAGTGAATGTATACTCCACATCAGTAACGATTGAGAACCTGAGCCGACATGACATGTTGGCGTGGGTGAATGACTCCCTTCAGCTCACCTACACCAAGATAGAACAATTATGTTCAGGTGGGTTGTACTGCCTTATTTCACAAAGTGTTTCTGTCTTTTGTGTCATGAATGGCACTAGCATACTCTTTATTTCTGCTCCACTATTGATTATATAAGACTACTCTTAATTTCACAATAAAAAGGCTTTTACTTTGCCTTTGATCATATATGCTTAGTGTTTGTATCTCTTCCAGTGTAATCAGTCAAATTAAAGCATTTACTTTGCACTCTTTCTTTATCACTTGACACTAATAAGGTTAGCCAATCACTTGTTGATCAAAGACATTTTTCTTTTTTTTGTCATCATGCAATGAATGAGCTCTGTTGACCCATGTTCTCTTTTGCTGTTTGTCCTCAGGGGCGGCTTATTGTCAGTTCATGGACATGCTGTTCCCAGGGTGTATTCTTTTAAAGAAAGTGAAATTTCAAGCAAAGCTGGAAACTGAGTTTATACACAACTTCAAAGTACTCCAGGCAGCTTTCAAGAGGATGAACGTTGATAAAGTTAGTTGGCCCTTTGGAGTATTTGCTTCTATGTACATCTCACAGTTTTACTTCAAACTTATCTTTAACTTTTAACTTTTTTTTTTTACTTCTACTTTTAAGCTTTACTCAATTAGAAAGTATAAATTAAAGCTTTCAGTTCTTTTGGTAAAAAATATCAACTACAATAACAGTTGATTGAAAGAAGGCATGTTTGTTTATATGGCACATTTCATACTCAATGGGTAGATTCAAAATGCTTTACATAAAAGTGATTAATACTGATCGTAAAAGGTCGATGAGAAGAAAAAAATAATAAGAAATAATTTATTTAAAAGGTACTAAAAAGAAAAGAACAACAATACAGAGATAAAAATATACAGTGCATTCAGTAAGACTGAAGGAAAAAGTCACAGCATTTTTGCTTGTAATTTCAAAATATAGCTTCAAACTTCTGTTAAACAAAAAAAGCAGCCTGTTGATGTGAAAATTAAGGGATGTGATTAATTAATTAATTGGGTTGTACCCTTGTTTTTTTGAACAGCAATTAATATTCATGAACCAATTTACCATAGTATGAAGCTAATTAATATTCATGAGTAAAGCCTTCACCTTAGTGTTTGTAAAATACAGACATCTTTAATAAAAAATGAGAAGTAACTTTCATCAATATCCAACATTAGGCCTAGATATTGCTCAACAGATCATTAGTTAAATAGTTATGAATGTAAATTAGTTATTAAAGGTTTGGCTGATATATTGATGTAGTATGCATTATATGTTTGTTAATAACTAATGGAAGTCATTATAGTGTTAAATGTATATTTTTATCAAGTGATGAGTCAGGGTGCTGGTTTTTGGTGTCAGGTTTTCTGAAAATATTACTTGAGACAAGTGAAGGTGTCTAATGTTCTTTGTCAAATATGCTTTTGTATTTTGTAATTCCTAGGATAGGAGAAAGGATTTTAAAGGGGTCATATGATGCTGCTAAAAAGAACATTATTTTGTGTATTTGGTGTAATGAAATGTGTTTACATTATTTTCCACATACTGTACATTATTGTTTCTCCTCTATGCCCCGCCTTTCTGAAACGCGTCGATTTTTACAAAGCTCATCGTTCTAA